ATGAATGTCGAATGAATGTTTTATATGTTAGAGGATATTTTAAATGTTTTGCAATTAAAAATTTTCAGAGATAATTGGTATAAAGATATGAAGAAATAGGGCAGGGTCAAGAGGTTCTAAACAGTAAATTAAAAATAAATTACACTTAATTTTATCTCAATAAATGCTCGGGGAATGAACACTCCATATAAAAGAGGCCAATTGTACCATACTTTGTGCCAAAATCAGATAGATGTAGTATATGTCCAGGAGACTCACTGGAATGATACAACCAAGAAATTATGAAAATTTTCATATTATCCATATATTTACCAAGCCACTATTTTAATGGGGAAAAAAAACAGGATTAACTATTCTAAATTTCTAATTAAGTCAAATTTGAGCTGATCCTTGAGGAAATGGATAATAATGGTAGAGATGTTATTCTTATTTGCAAAATTAATGATATTTTATATTCATTAGTAAACATATATTGCCCTAATCAGTCTCCTACAAAATTTCTGGAAAAACTAATGAACAGAATGGATCAAATAACTCAAGGCACTTTAATTCTGTTATGGGCAAATGCAAATATTACAACTTTTAAAATGCAAATATTGTTTTCCTCAAACTGTGTACTTTGTCTTTAAGAGATATTGCAAACTGACAAGGTGTTGGGTGTTTTTCATACATGTTTCTTTAAGCAATAACCTCTTACTTACCTTCAGTGCATAATATGTTTACGCCATTTTGTCACAGACGAATTACAATAACAATAATGCATAAACAAGCTTCAAGGCTATGCTACGACTCTTTCAGTACATAATATACTGCGGCAACCCTAAGTAGATAAAGATGTTCAGACTTTAAGATGCCATCTTGACCTAAGTCAGGAAATTTTCAATGACATGTTATGGCCTTGTATTTTTGCCGAGTTAAGGGAGGTCCTAAAATGGATAAAGTAAAAGAAGTGTTACTTTTTCATATATGAACTATGGTAACCCTAAAATGAAGACACCTAAGGTATAAATATGTGTACCTTTTAAATGTTAAGGGACGGAGGAGAGATTTGGAGACAGACGCTGCTCCATCTTATAATGACAGAGAGGCTGACATGATGACATGTTCAGGAGGGTATGTTAATCTATTATTGATATTTGCAAGAATTTAGTTTAATCTTATAAACTCTGCTATAAATTATTGTAATGGATTTTCTATGTCTATATATATATATATATTTTTATATAATAAATATCTAAAAAGACAAAACTTTATTGCTTCCAAGACAATCCTTATTTTATATTGTATTCTTAATTATTTATATATTTTAAATAGAGGATCTCTTACTAACTATATAATTTTATGGCTAAAATATCTGTATGGTTAGCCCTGCTAAGTTCTATGCTTTAAGACCTTATAGTAGTAAATAAGGGAACCAGCTGCGGTTACAATTCTAGGTGGTGATTTCAACTGCGCGCCTGACACTAGATTAGATAACAAACTACCATCTAGTGCAAGGATAGATTCTCAATCTAAACACGCTGCAAATCTACTTCAGGATTTTTTCCCCAAAACTCTCTATATGTCATCTGGAGAGATTATTACACCCCCCAAGAACGAGATTATACTTTTTTTTTCAAAGGTACACTGTTCATACTCAAGAATAGATCTATTTGTTTCTAAACAACAAACATTATATAAATGTTCTTCCTCAATGACTGGATCAATAACACGGTCTGATCATGTACCCATATTTAAAGAAAATCAAGAACAACAGAGAATTTTACCCTCAAACAACATGGAGACTGAATAAATCATTATGTTCTCCTGGACAGGATATAGACAATCTTAAAAAGCAAGCTGAAGAGTTTGTTGAAATTAGCGATAATGGAGAGACCTCAATTTTTTTTCTGTTTAGGGATCATTCAAATGTTTTATCTGAGGATTATTTATAAAACTCGGATCTTATGTAAAAAAGAAATGCGGAGAACCCTTATCAAAACTTTATATATCATTAACTAAACAAGAGAAAATAAATAAAGAAAATCCTAATCCAAATACTCTTGAAAATATAATACAAATTAAAAATTTAATTAAAATCATACTTCAAGAAAACTCAAACTAAATTGGTATTTAAACAGTAACAAGATTGATGAACTTCTCTCTAACAAATTAAAATTTAGATTGGATTTGAGAGGCATTCAGATCCTATTACTGTTCATTATATAACTTAGAAATTGGAAATAAGGAAGTAATAAGTGAAAATATAATCAAATAGTGTGACAAATTTCCCTTCCAACATGAGTTTGCCACGAGCTCCTGGAGGAGCCTGCTTGCCAGCCTCCTGCCCACATGGGCCCTGCAGGGAAACCTGTAAAAGACTGATTTCATGGAACTGTTTTGGGCACAGGACCATGTGAACGGTCTGTCAAAATTATGACTTCCATGAAAATAACTTGGGGTGGGGTTTTTATGTGTTTTAAAGATATTTTGGGGGTTTTGTAATAATGTATGTTTTCTGTGCCTGGAGATAATTGAGTTTAGTACAGTGCCTGACTCATTTATCTCTCAGGCACAGGTGGGGTGGGGGTTGGGGGGAATTACCATGTTTTGTGTGGGAGTGTCCTGGACCTGAGAGCCAATGTAATTACAGTGTGTACTTTGTCATAGTCCCCTCTTAGGTCCAGTGGGGAATGCCCCTGGAATATGTAATGGAGAACCCCTTGCATGGGGACTTGCATATAAGGCCAGTTGTGACTGCCATTAAACAGTTCCTCTTCACCCTTAACATAGAGCCTTGCCTCATGTGTGGAGGGGCAGCTATATTCACTCTGGGAATTGCTATATCACTATACTCCCTTGGATTACAGCATTAACTCTTGTAAAAGCTATCTTGCTATACTCTCTGGAGTAGGAGAGGTCTACTCACTGGAACTTGGATCCCTGACTTGGGTCCAGGGTGGGTGGAGCACAACGAGACCCCAGCCAAGCTGCGGTGGCTGTGGGGTTTACAGTGGTTATGGTGTTCCAGTGCGGTGCTTATGGTGCTCACAATTACTAGAAGGCAGCGATTGGCGGAGGCACCCAGTCGGGGTGCCAGGTGGTCCGTTACAAAGAGTTTCTTAAAAAATGCAAATTACCCAAAATCAAACCAATTATGTTAGAACAACTAAATAAACCTATTTCTATGTTTGAGATGCAAAATACAATAAAATGGCTAAAAAATGCAGAAGCACCTGGACCAGGTGGATTCTCCGCAATCTTGATCTTGTAAAAGCATCCCAAAGGAATTGCTTCAGGCCAATGTTCTCCCAAGCCTGGAAAGGATTGTGATACCCTGTCGAATTATAGACCTATTTCTCCGATAAATCTTGACATAAAAATATTTTCAAAAATATTGGCAGAAAGATTGAAAACCGTAATCCCAGAAATCATTCATAAAGATCAAACAGGTTTTGTGTCAGGTAGGGATATTGCTGATAATACTCGCAAAATCTTAAATGTAATATATCATCTACAAATACAAAAAATACAGTCAGTTTTTATAGCGTTAGACGCAGAGAAAGCATTTGACATTGTTAACTGGACATTTCTCTGCTTGGTGATGGAGAACCTTGGACTGACAGGCTTTTTTAAGGAGAGTACAATGTTATTATATACAAACTCACAAGCTAGAGTCATATGTCCTGGTATGGTATCTGATTGGTTTGATATTCGGAATGGCACCAGACAAGGTTGCCCCCTGGCGCCACTCCTTTATGTTATAGCTTTGGAACCTTTAGCAGCAGCAATTAGACAAAATGATAAAATCGAAGGGCTGCAGATCCATTCAGAACATCATAAAATCACTCTATATGTGGATGATGTTTTTTTTTTTTAACTCTCTCTATTCTAATAGATTCAATTACAAATGTATTAAAGTTAATTTAAGATTTTTGGCATTTGGCATTATAATTAAATATGAATAAGACACAAACATTAACTTTCAATATAAACTTTAAAAATGTAAGGTATTTTAAAAAGTTCAAATGGAACTTTTATAATGACAAGATAGATTATCTTGGAATCATAATCATTTCAAATATAGATAAAATTGCACAAGAGAATTATAAGAAACTCTTATCAATATTTAAATAAATTTTTCAAAGTTGGAAAGGATTAGAAATCTCCTGAATGGGTCGTATGAATACGGTCTCAGCATACGTAATACCAAAACTAATCTATATGTTCCGATTTATACCTATAAAAGTAACTTGCTCAACACTCCCTCAAGTCAAATTTTTTTTATGAAATTCATTTCGGGGAATAAAACACCCAGAGTTTCATATAATACGCTTACTAAAAAAAGGAATAAATGCAGTACAAATCTTCCCGCTATAATAGAATTACATGTTTGTAACATGTTTACTCATTTTTTAAAACGGGATAATTCTATTACCGTAATCCTGATGCTAGTTGGAAAAATATGAAAACAAAAAGTAATACTTTATTCAAATTAGCTTGGATTGGTTCTGAACATTATAAAAAAGTTTCACTATCAAATAAAATTGCAAACAAAACAATTACCACTCTAAAGTTATTTAAAAAGAAACTGGGTATTTGTAATGAAAGAATCACCTCAGCACCTATTGAAGTTATTAGATTTTATATTGATGGAATATACTTATCAAAATGGATAGAATATAATATCCAGGGGGGCGGGGCCAGACTGCCCGAGCAGGACGGTTGCATGTAAACTCAACTCCTGCAAGCTACCAAACCTTAAGCCTTAAAACCATGATTTTTAGCCTCAATGCCGACCACCAGCGACGGTCCTCATTGCAAAGGGGACACTGGATCCAGGGTGAGGCTGGCTCCTCGAGCTGCAGTCCCCTGGAGGAGAGGTCTTCGATGTCCCAATTGGGGCCTACTCCGGCGGTGAGTGGGGTGGACAGCCGCTGCTCCACTATCCTGCCTAACAGAGCCCAGCCAGAGGCCCAAAGCCGTGTGGACCTGGCCCTGTCCCCTCCCCCTCTGGACCTATGAGGGTGATCCCGGTCCTCACCCTGTGGCCCAGACCGCTGCAACACAACCCAAGCCCAGCAACACTACCACCCCGAAATTTCAGCCCGGGCGCTTCAGTTAAAATGGCAGATGCCATGTGCGCCGATGCCAGAGGGATGAAATGCTCTCTCCCCGAGCCCGCAGCAAGCAACGTAGCATCCAGGCACAAGCTGGCTCGACGCCTATCACTGCAAACTACAAGCATCCAACATAATACCCAGGCAAGATGCCCACCTCCCCAGATGCAACGCAAGACCACAGCCCGAAGCAGACAGAAGAGTCGGAGGCACAGCAGGCCAGAGAGCACAACACATCACAGGCTACTGACACTCGGCAAACACCAACTTACCCGCCAGTTATATCGGGGAGCAGGTCTCCCAAGCAAGGTACCGCACTGTACTCCTGAACTGCCATACAACACCTCACAGCCAGCCCCGACGAGACCGCAACGCATAAAGACAGCTGACCTGCAACCGGACCACACTAGGCTTAATGAGGACATCGGCAAAGCTGAGACTCGAGATGACTATTTACCACAATAACACTTTGACCTCCTACTGGCTCTATGCCCCACACAGACAGACTCTCCGCCAAAGCCATTATGCGGTGTGGGCTGACAGCCTTTACAGGACTCCACTTAGATGGGCACAACACAGTTGCCTTATCCCTTGTCTGCTCCGGCACCTGTACTGACACCATCAGCAGAACATGACCATATATGTTGTTTAGCATATAAACGTTGTCCCGCATATAAATATTGTCTAGCATATAAGAGACATCCAGCATATAGGTGTTTAGCACATAAACCGTTTTTTAACATGCTCACTGTCGGGAATGCAGGGATCTGTAATTAATAATGCTTCATCTTAATCTTGGGCAGTAAAGTGCAATGCCAGCTTGCCTGGGTCCTGGGCTATATATTTAACTAAATGTTTAACTTCTGAACCAATCCATACAAACTAACGCAATTTCGCTGCATAGGCTCTGTCTTATACTTACAGAATTACTTATTGCTAGCCTAGTACAGACGGGAACACTAAATCTGTTTACGTTGATCTATAAAAAATAGTGCTGATTTTTTCACATGCTGACCAACTGTTAGCATATGTTTGATCATATACTTGTCAATGCTGTTGGGGCATGACGAGCCCACTTGCTATACTTTCATGCACTCCAAAAATAAAGAATGAAAAAAATATATATATAATATCCAAAATATAACTCAAATTGCTCCTTTGGGAAAAATTAAATCATTTACAGATATTCAAATTCAATTTGGATTGCCCAATCAAGAATGGTACAATTATGTTAAAATAAGTAACTTATTAAATACCTTAGACATCAAAGAACACCCAAAATTTGAAAATTGAATTAATAAACATTATAAAAATAGACAGATATCTAAAGTAACACATATGGTTAAGGACATCATGGTCATGGATAAACCCAATTCCCCCCAAAAATGGGAAAGCGATATAAACAAATTATTCACACTGGAAACATGGGGAGATAGATTTATAGAAATCAGGAAGACAAACCACAGCCTTAATATACAAGAGACTTGTTTTTTAAATTGCTCACTGATGGTATATCACTCCATATAGAATTAAACCATTTAAAAATAGTTACTCAGATAAATGCTGGAGATGTTCAAAAGAAATAGGTACATTACAGGGAGTGCAGAATTATTAGGCAAGTTGTATTTTTGAGGATTAATTTTATTATTGAACAACAACCATATTCTCAATGAACCCAAAAAACTCATTAATATCAAAGCTGAATATTTTTGGAAGTAGTTTTTAGTTTGTTTTTAGTTATAGCTATGTTAGGGGGATATCTGTGTGTGCAGGTGACTATTACTGTGCATAATTATTAGGCAACTTAACAAAAAACAAATATATACCCATTTCAATTATTTATTATTACCAGTGAAACCAATATAACATCTCAACATTCACAAATATACATTTCTGACATTCAAAAACAAAACAAAAACAAATCAGTGACCAATATAGCCACCTTTCTTTGCAAGGACACTCAAAAGCCTGCCATCCATGGATTCTGTCAGTGTTTTGATCTGTTCACCATCAACATTGCGTGCAGCAGCAACCACAGCCTCCCAGACACTGTTCAGAGAGGTGTACTGTTTTCCCTCCTTGTAAATCTCACATTTGATGATGGACCACAGGTTCTCAATGGGGTTCAGATCAGGTGAACAAGGAGGCCATGTCATTAGATTTTCTTCTTTTATACCCTTTCTTGCCAGCCACGCTGTGGAGTACTTGGACGCGTGTGATGGAGCATTGTCCTGCATGAAAATCATGTTTCTTGAAGGATGCAGACTTCTTCCTGTACCATTGCTTGAAGAAGGTGTCTTCCAGGAAATGGCAGTAGGACTGGGAGTTGAGCTTGACTCCATCCTCAACCCGAAAATGCCCCACAAGCTCATCTTTGATGATACCAGCCCAAACCAGTACTCCACCTCCGCCTTGCTGGCGTCTGAGTCGGACTGGAGCTCTCTGCCCTTTACCAATCCAGCCACGGGCCCATCCATCTGGCCCATCAAGACTCACTCTCATTTCATCAGTCCATAAAACCTTAGAAAAATCAGTTTTAAGATATTTCTTGGCCCAGTCTTGACGTTTCAGCTTGTGTGTCTTGTTCAGTGGTGGTCATCTTTCAGCCTTTCTTACCTTGGCCACGTCTCTGAGTATTGCACACCTTGTGCTTTTGGGCACTCCAGTGATGTTGCAGCTCTGAAATATGGCCAAACTGGTGGCAAGTGGCATCGTGGCAGCTGCACGCTTGACTTTTCTCAGTTCATGGGCAGTTATTTTTGCGCCTTGGTTTTTCCACACGCTTCTTGCGACCCTGTTGACTATTTTGAATGAAACGCTTGATTGTTCGATGATCACGCTTCAGAAGCTTTGCAATTTTAAGAGTGCTGCATCCCTCTGCAAGATATCTCACTATTTTTGACTTTTCTGAGCCTGTCAAGTCCTTCTTTTGACCCATTTTGCCAAAGGAAAGGAAGTTGCCTAATAATTATGCACACCTGATATAGGGTGTTGATGTCATTAGACCACACCCCTTCTCATTACAGAGATGCACATCACCTAATATGCTTAATTGGTAGTAGGCTTTCGAGCCTATACAGCTTGGAGTAAGACAACATGCATAAAGAGGATGATGTGGTCAAAATACTCATTTGCCTAATAATTCTGCACTCCCTGTATATCATATGTGGTGGAAATGTGAAGAACTAGAAGAGATTAATAAAAAGATCTCTAATATATTTATATAATGGGATTACAACAAGTAATACTATTACCCCAGACATTTTTATTCCATTTGAATCTTCCAAATTGCAATTATGAACAAAAAATATAAATTATTCATAATTTATGGCAATTAAACTTATATTAGCCAGAAAGTGGAAAAACACAATGACATCAATACGGCCAGAAATAAACAATCAGATAAGATTCCAACAACAGATGGAGGAAGGTTTCTATCGAAAATAAAATAAGATATCAATACATAAAAAAGTATTGAGATTGTGGGATGAGATCCTATAAATTAATTGTAAATAAATACCCTAAACATAAAACAAAATAATTAGATAGGAAAGGTGATACCTTTTCTAAAATGGCATATATACCAAACTGTTATCTCTACACAAACAAATAGAATATTATTTTTTTCTCTCTGAATATAAGCATGATAAAGATAAATTGATCAAAACGTATTGTATTATGTTATTGAATAGAAGAATAAATGAGAAATGAATGAGGTGTAATCTGTATTTATGTTGGATTACCGCACCGTTATATTCCATGAACATAAATAAATGTATTTAAACAAAATTGTCAATAAAGATAAAGAAATAAAAAATAAAAAAATAATTCACTTTAATAGGCAAAGACATTAACCCCTTCAGGACGGGTGACGGACGAGGTCCGTCACACAGGGGAGACCCTTAACGACGGGTGACGGACCTCGTCCGTCACGCGGTAAAATTAACCCCGGATCGCCGCTATCGCGGCGATCGCGGGGTTAATGGTGCTCCCGGTATGCCTCTGCATTGGAGGCATACCGGGAGCACCCGGTCAAGCTGCCCAGCACATGTGCTCGCTCTGACCACAAGTCGGAGCGAGCACATGTGCTCTGAATACTTACCTACCGGCTCCCTGCACTTCCGGGTTCTGTGTGAAGTGCAGGGAGCCGGATCAGTGCTGATCCTGCCCCCTGCTGTTAAAAAAAATAAAGTTTATTTAAAGTGTCCCCCCCTTACCCATTTTAATAAAAAATTAACCCCTTCCCTGCCAATTGATCACTGACTACAGTGATCAATTGGCAGGGATTACATTTTACTATGATCTGATTTTTTTTTTTAACCCCTGAGGGTTAATTCTTTTTTTTTTTAACCCTCAGGGGTTAAATTAATTAAATTAATTAATTAAATTATTTTTAAATTATATATTTAGATAGCTGGGGTAGGTGGAAGTTAGTGGGGAATTGGGGGATTTGGCGTTAGGCTAACTAGGGGTTAACGTTAAAAAAAAGTTTTAAAAGAAACTTTAAAAAGTTAAAAATTAAGCTTAAAAAATGTTTTAATAACATTTAAGTAATAAAAACAAAAAAACACACTTTACCTAGTCCAAATAAAAATTAACCCCTTCCCTGCCAGTCGATCACTGCCTACAGCGATCAAATAGAGATCACAGTATTATACTGTGATCTAATTTTTTTTAACCCCTGAGGATTAACTTTTATTTATTTTTTTAACCCTCAGGGGTTCAATTTATTTAATTAATTAATTTAAATATTTTATAACTATATATTTTGCTAGCTGGGGTGGGTGGGAGTTATGGGAAAATGGGGAATTTACTGTTAGTGCTGCGTACTGCTAGTTAGGGGTTAACAGTAAAAAAAATAGCTTAGAAAAATGTTAAATCTGTAAAAAAGTTTTAAGAAAGTTTAGGAAAGTTTAAAAAAATTTATAAGCAAAACAAAAGTTTAAAAACTAGTTTTTAAAAGTAAAAAAGTTATAAAAAGTAAAAAAATACATTTTAAAAACGCTCATTACCACTACACCTGGAACAAACTAGAGAAAAAATTATCCCACGCCAAGGTTCAAAATATGCCTTTTGAATTACCCCAGGGTGTATTCTTTAATAAATAGTATGTGTTTGTGGGGAAGTTTCAATAACCAACCATCTAAACTATTCCAAATTGGAACATGGACACAGCGTAAAACTTCAAAGTTAGAAAAAAACTGAATGGCTGCGTCTCAAATGCGCCCCTTCAACATCCACATATACCTGGCAAAGGTACATACGGGGGTATTGCTGTACTCAGCCGACATAGCTGAGCAACATATGAAGTATTATACAGTCATAGCACACATAAGGTTTGCAAAATATGCTGCGCAAACTCACTTTGTATCAAAAAGGCAGAAAAAATGCTTATTACCACTACACTTGGTACAAGCTAGCGGAAAAATGATCCCACACTAAGGTTCAAAATATGCCTTTTGAAA